ACACACACACACACACACACACACACACACACACACACACACACACAAGCACACAGGCACACACACACTCACTCTCTCACTTACACAGACACATACACAGAAAAGCTGGAACAGCCCTAGAGAGCAACATACCTCAGCTTTCCAATGCTGACCGAGAGAGAGAGAGAGAGAGAGAATATCAGACAGTGAGGAAGGTGAAGATAAGGGACAAAGAGGAGATAGGACAGGAGAGAGAACAGAAAAACAGAGTAAATATCAGTGTATTGTGGACATATTAAATTCCAAGTCTAAAATCACAGCAGTGAACACAGTCAAGATGAATCTAGGTAAGACAGAGAGTGATAGTGTAAGAGACAGAGAAAGAGATGGAGGGAGGGAGAGAGACAATGAAGGAGAGTGCGACAGGGAGAGAGAGACAGATAGAAGGGGAGTGAGAGAATGTGTGTGAGATCAAGACAGAGAGAGACAGAGACAGTATATTAGGAAAAGAGAGGGAGAGAGAAACAGAAAGATAATGACAGAGACAGAAAGATAGAGAAAGAGCGAAAATCAGAGAAAGAGAGTATTACAAAGTTGTGTAGAGTAATCATGAATTGGAAGACAGGAAGATAGAATTTGTTCTTAAAAAAAGTGTGTGGTCCCTTTAAGAGGTAAAGTGCTTTTCTAAGCTTACAGATTTATACAGAAAAAACGTGTCTGTATGTAGCTGAAGATTTATAGCCAGCTCTAAAATGGAAACACGTATCAATTGGCTGTGTGATTGGAAACCTTAGGGGTGTTTTGATGGTTTGGCATCTGATGAAGGGTCTAGGCCCGAAACGTCAGCCTCTCTGCTCCTATGATGCTGCTTGGCCTGCTGTGTTCATCCAGCCCTGCACCTTGTTGTCTTGGAATCAGCCAATTAATTTAAACCAAGCACTTAGCGACTGAAAGCCAATTAAATTTAAATCTGATAGTTTTGACAACCTCTAATCATGGATGGGTCATCAGGGGTATAACAAAGAGGGCACTCAGAAAATCGGCAGATACCTAACTGCCATTGGAAGGGGTGAGAACAAACCGTCATCTGAGAAATAAGCATCTAGCTCTCACAAGGAATTGCTAAGCTCTATAAGAAAGCGCCAAAGGTACCATGGCACTTCCAGCTAAAAGTCCTCTCAGAGAAAATTCAGAGAAAACATCCCTGACAGCAGGATTAACAGAAGAAAAGCTGGGGAGATAATGGAGAAGGCAGAGCATTCCAGAAGACACATTTTGTGCGACCTTTGAGAGACTAAGTTTTAATTTAGTTTTTTTTCTTACTATTTGGGTCATATACATAGGACTTCTTTTTATTGGAATAGCATACCAGTTGAATTTTGTTCAGTTAGGGAATAGTTAGGAGTTGGAGGGAACTGTCCAGTTTGTTAGTAGTTTTGTTCACTGTTAGGGTAAAATAAATAAATTGTTACTTGTTATTTATAAAGTGAATATCAGGGATTTTCTTTCATTTAACCTCCCATTCTGTGTAACAAGAGAGAGAAAGTCAGAGACAGAGAGACAGAGATAGAGAGAGTGAGAAAGATAAAGAGAGCGAGAGAGAGAGTGGGCAGAGAGAACCAGAGTGAGTGAGAGAGAGAGTCAGAATCATAGAACTGTTACAATGCAGAAGGAGGCCATTCAGTCCACCGTGTCAGTACGAGCTCTTCAAATGAGCATCATTCCCCAATGTCAATCTCTTGCCATTTCGCATTTCCCTGCACATTATTTCTTTGCAAATGGCCATCCAATGTCCTCTTTGAATTCCTGAACGGAACCTGCCTCCACCACATTTCCAGGCACGACATTCCATTCCCTAACTATTCACTGAGAAAGTTTTTTTCTCACATCACCCTCGTTTTGTTTACATATCACTTTAAATCCATGCCCCTTGTGTTTTTGATTCTTTTGCAAGTAGAAATAGTTTCTCCATGTCTGCTCTGTCCAGCCCCGCTCCTGATTTGAAACCTCTATCTGATCTCCCTCTCAGCCGCTTTCTCTCCAGGGAGAACAGTCCCAACTTCTTCAATCAATCCTCCTGACTGACGTTTCTCATTCCTGGAACTATTCCTGCTTTCTGCCCTCTCTCCAACACATTCACATCTTTCCTATAATGTGACACCCACAACTGTGCACTATACTCCAGCTGAGGGTCTAACAAGTATCTTGTACAAGTTTAACATCACCTCCTGGCTCTTGTACTCTATGCCTCTATTAATAAAGCCGAGGGCACTGTCTGTTTATTAACTGCTCTGTCCCCCTGTCCCGCCACCTTCAGTGATCTCTGACATATACCCCCAGCTCCCCCTGCCCCTGCGCCCCCTTTAGAATTATACCCCCTATTTTAATATTGTCTTTCAATGCTCCTCCTGTGATGAAGACAATGAACTGTGATGACCACTCCCCAGTCATTCTCTCTCTCTCTCTCTGATGACCACTCCCCGGGCACTCTCTCTCTCTCTCCGTGCTGACCACGCCCTGGTCACTCCCTCTCCCTCTGATCACCACTCCCCAGTCACTCCCTCTCCCTCTGTGATGACCACTCCCCAGTCACTCCCTCTCCCTCTGTGATGACCA